GCTGCTGTGATTTTGGGCTATACACAAAAAACACATTGAATTAAATTGACAACAGTATGAAAAGTCTTCTCTAAGATACCCAATGATCCATTAACATGTCATTAACTGTAATCACATGTAAAGCCAGCGCAGAAATATAAAGTCTGCATTTGTATTGGCTACGGCAAGCAGAGTGGGACAAACGCGCTGCAGTTGTTGGTTATTTTTGGACACGGCCCGTGGCAGTAACTGGAACAAGTGATTGATTTTAAACAATCTTCATCCCGGGGCCTTTTCTTTATTACGCTGTTGGCACCTGCGATGTTTTTCAGAACGCTGTCTTAACTTTTTTCGTGTTTTTTTTCAAGTTTTTTTTGTTCGCAGTATTTTGGAAATGTAAACAGAGCTAAAACACATCCAGATGTTAGCAGCTTGGGCCGGTCACCGCTGACACAAAGCAGAGCCCGACTTTTGCCTGCGCGTTGGCTTTTGTGCGTATCGTTCTGAGACAGACGAAATTATTGAATGGATGTGTCACGTACAGCTGCGGTGAGAAGCCAGGGTCTGCCACTGAACATGTTGAGAGTCTGAAGGAAAGGAAACCATCGGGAAGTGGACAGGAGGAACTGGATTGCTCTGAAAAAAGTGATTCTACCCAGATTTCGGGGTCCATTTGGTGAAGTTGTCACTGTGCAGCCAACCCAATCCTCAGAACTGTAATTATCTTGACATAAGTTTTCTCGAGATTGCTGGCGATTTTGATGTTTAAGCCTTAAACACATTGGCAAGTCTGACAAAAAAAAAGAAAAGAAAACATCTATTGTCTCAACCCGCTCATGTTTATTGCATACAGCCTCAGTCCTGGGTCTACAGCCTCAGTCCTGGTTCCATACAGCCTCAGTCCTGGTTCTACAGCCTCAGTCCTGGTTCCATACAGCCTTAGTCCTGGTTCTACAGCCTCAGTCCTGGTTCTATATAGCCTCAGTCCTGGTTCCATACAGCCTCAGTCCTGGTTCTATACAACCTCAGTCTTGGTTCTACAGTTCGTGACAGTGGATCCTTTTCTCATTATGGGCCTCTGTGTGTGTGTTCTCATTTCTTTCCCTCTGGGTTTCTTGAGTCGTTCCTTGCCGATCAGTTCAAGGGCCACTAAAAATAGTCTTGTGTTTGACATGTGTGGCTCAGGGTGGCTTGAAAGAGTTACGAATATGCAACATAAAGTTCAAAAGTGGCAAAAGAAGTATGACTTTTTGGTTCAAGGCATTAACTAATTTATATACCCTAGAAACCAAAGAAGCAAATTGCCTTGGTCATTGAATATTGCTTGTCAAATATTTTAACTTATTTTTGTTTCTTACCCATCCCCGTTAACAAAAACAGATATATCTTTTCAACAAATATTTTTACGTCTGGGTTCTACAGGGTTAAACTCAAATGTACAAGCGATTCAAGTGGTCACAATGGAGACACAGCATAGACCTGCTAAAAAACAGCATTACCTTTATACAGTGGCACATTTAACAGCCTTATAATTGTGCAGGTTAAAAGCACGGGTTAAGTCTATCATTATTTCCCATAAAACGTGGCTCTTTTGTGTTCCCCTCTGACTCAAATCCAGTGTTTTCTGACAGAGCTGTGTGTGAATGAGCCGTGTGCGTGGGCGGAGAGCGAGTAGGCCTAATTGTTGAGGTGAGCGATGTTAATGTTTGTTTGTAAAATGCCCTTTTGCTGCAACCACGCACTCGCAGGCGCTGAGCTAAGCCGGGTTTTAATTAGCAGACGTCCTTGGCTCTTCATAATGATATCATTATTAATGCCTGCGCGGCTAATCACGCGTTTTCAAACAGGTGAAATGCGTTTTTTCAAAGATGGACAGAAATGCACACGAGTGTTTTGTGTTGGTCGAGCCGAAGCCGCGGCCCTCTGGGAATAATTACAAGAGACATTCTGTCTGATTAGAATGTATATATGGAGAAGGCAGATTCTAAATGTACATATTTTTAGAGGGAGAAATATGGACAAAAAAGAAGGGCTTGACTGTAAGAAAACTAAAAAAAGGACAGATTTAGAAACATGTTATTCTCCTCATATTAAATAGTAGGGTTTTTATTAGCGGTTTGTATATACAGGTGAAACTCGGAAAATTAGAATATCAAATTTATTTCTGCAATTCAATTTATAACGTAGAATTACACACACAAAGAGACATGTCAAGCCTCTATTTGTTATATTGTTGGTCATTTTCTGAAAAGCTTCTGAAAACCCTAAATGAGAACCTTTTGAAAACAGAAGCCATAATCCTCAACATTAAAATAAAGAAAGGCTTGTGTCTGTTTTTACAACTCTATAACATTGATTTACATAAATAAAAGAATAGTCTAGTTTTTACGCATTGGCCAGTGGTTGGCGTGCGAGCAGTTTAAACTTTGAGATCATCGACGTCCTCACACCCTCTCACTAGTTGCTTGTTGATTTCTACATCACTAGTTTTCACATACATGCTTCTCGGACTCCCGCACAGCTTTGCAACACTTCACCCAGTTAAGATATCCACAGGGCTCTTTGTTACAAGCTTTCATTTACGAAGACTGTACGTTGTGGTCTGATTCGTTCACCACGCTTTCACGACGTTCCCTCGGTGTGGGACAAACACAATCTTTCACACAAGAAAGTTACAGAACAATTGAAATTTATCTCATATCAAAACTTCCCCTTCAAACTTTCGCTCTGCTCTGCACCTCATCTTTTGGGGCGGGCCTGTTTCGCGGGTCGAGTTTCACCGCGGTGGCCTGGGCGTAGGGCTGTGGTCGCGTTCCTTCATAGATCTTGTCGTCCTGAGGTTAAGCCCGAGGTTACGCGGGCCCCAGAAGCGAAGACCTCCAGTGAAGAAACCAGACTAACGCCAACCGTGCATCGGGACGCTATTCCTGGACGCGAGCAGTGGAGCGCGGCTAATGCTGTGTGTGGGGGGGCTAAGCTAAACAAACACGCCGTGGGAGGATGGTGTGTCCATGACAGAGGCGCGCAAACAAACGTAAACAAGGCCCGGACGGGAATAGAACCCAAAACCTCAATGGGCAATGGACTCCGACAAGCACTGACCACTGGAAATGAGCTCGCCAGCTACCAACACACAGCTGTACAAGTATTACTCATGACGTTTCTGTTTGGCTTTGGTCGGGGAAGCAAAACAAGGCGATTGGATTGGAGATGAGTGGTTCTCAAAGGGTGGTTTGCGAGGAGATTTTGGTGGTGGTCAAGAGATTTTTGGCTGCTTAGGATCAAGTGTAATCCTGATTTGGATGATTCTAGTTCTTTTGGAAGGTCCTATGGTTTACATGCAGTGAGACCTGAAGTTTGAACAGTTTTCGTCCTACTTTCTCAGATAACTGTGTGTTTTAGGCCAGCCCAATATTTTTTTTTTCATGTTGAAGAGGGATAGTTCTCGTGAATGCAGGGGGAAAGTCAAAAAAATTCTATCTAGGTAAAAACTCAAGCATTCAGATTTGTTGTAAAACGCTCAAGCACTAGAAAGTCCATGAATTGTTGTACTTTAGACCTAGTGAAATCCTTCGGACTGCTTTACAAAATAGTTTATCTAGCGTGATTCCAATTTTTTGTGAATATTTTTTCAATTCACCATGTAAAAAGACTTGTTTAAATATATACAATGAAAAACTTGGATTAAAATGCACAGATGCCCAACCATAAACCAGTACAAAAGCCATCGTTTAAACAAAGTTAGCTTTTGATTTTTTTGAGATCCGTATTCAAACCGGCTTTAAAAGTTGATATGCCTTTGTTTGTTTGTCTTTTCATCGTGATGCAGACAGAACAACTCAACACAAAATAATGAAATCAGGGAACAACAATGTAACAAAGGTACTATTGTGCGATTGAAACCATTTTGTGTAGAGAGAGAGAGAGCGCGACACTCCCTAAGCACAGTCGGGTCATAAAGCAGAGAACTGGGTTTGGCAAGAAAGAGAAGGCTGGAGCTTCCAGTAACACGAGACGTAAAAATCAATTTGCCGTGAAAAAGGTAAACATTGGGAGATGACAAAAATGCAGGATCTTTCCATTGGTCTCGTGCAACGTTTTTTACTGTTATTAAGCCAAAAGAATACAGCGAGGAAAAGTGACTTAAACTTAACGCATGGCATGTTAGTATTGGCAGGTTTGTGAATAGGAAATACTGGGGTGTAATGAATTGTTTTGTGAGAGGACGGTGAAAGCTCCGAAGAGTTATGTTGTCAAGATCTTTGAGGTTAACTTGAACTTTTCTCATGATTGTAACTTTTCCAGTACATGTACTTGCACAGACGAAATACCTGTATTAAAAGAAACCCTCTTTTGAAACTGTTTAAGACTTACAGTACCAAAAATTCACAAAATACTTTCTGCATCGCGTAATGAAAAAAGGTCCTCTTAATCTTATCTATTGTCGTTTATCCATCCATTGTGGTTTTAGAGATTTATTGTTGGCTTGCATTCAAGAAAAAACATTCTCTGATGATCCCTATTCTATAACACTGAATCATTCTCTGATGGTCAGGGATTTTGGCTCTAATGGAAAATCAAGAAGCTGTGATCTGCTCTGTTGCTCCTTGACGTTGACGACATTGGTTATGTGTTTAATTTCTGATGTACAAAATTATATTTATTCAACCCCTTTTTAAAAACAGCACCACACTTATATTTAATCAACTTAAATAGAAAACAAAGGGGTGAGACGCAAGAGAGCACATCACCCCTGTGCTAGCATCACTTCTCTGCCTCTGGATGGTCTTTTTCTGCTCCTGTCCTGACTCAAGACTTCATTGGAGATTTTTAACCATTGCCACGTTTGTATGACTTGGCTTTTAACACCAAGTTCTACTGTTTTTACACTTTTTTGTTTTTGTATTTCATGCTATTTCATTAGTCATATACTTTAATTTCATCAAGTAAAGCACATTGGCAGCTGGTTTTTTGACGGTTCTAATGAAAACCCAGACCCAGCTCTCATTATCTTCACATTTTTACATTTCTAATTCCAACCATTTTCTGTGATGGACAGACATCAAAAAGGGGAGGGGGCGTGTTTCCTCTGGGGTTTGCGTAGCCCCCAGCGGACCCTCCATTAGCAGAACGATCTGACCCCAGGGGGCGGCCATCTTGGAGTGGTGTTGGCATCGGCGTGTCTCTGTTGGTCCGCGGCGCTCATTGATCACGCGGTACAGTGCTAGCCGCGGGGGGGTTGTGTATGGCTGGACGGGGGGCCGCGGCGGTGTATCGATAAGGCCGAGCAGCAGCTGGACTCTGATGGTCATTTGGCGGCGGATGGACAGGTCGTGGTCGATGTTAACTCCCCATGACGGCACTATGGACGTTCGGCTGTTGGCGCGGTCGATGCGGTTTACGCGGGCTAATCCTCTGACTCTGTTCTGTCTGCGAGATAGAAATGTCCTCTCAAACATAAAAGCCAAAGGGGGACATTACAAAGAGTCTGTAATTAATTAACTGCATTAAAACAGAGAGAAATGTTTGTATTACGTGATGATACAAGCAACAATCCAAGACATTAAACAGAATTGTAGTACAACATCTGTAAGTGAATTAATTAGTATTTAATTTACTCTTTGTGATATACGAGAGGATTCATATAGTTTCATTCTTACATCTATTCTTTATCTCTTCATGGCTGCCCTGACACAATTTCCCTTAAACATGCTGCTGCTCTATCTCTGTGACAAATTCAATTGCATGGGAGTATTATAGTCTTGTACTCTAAGTATAGACTATCAACAATCTGCTAATCTCCATTCAAATCAGTGATGGCAATATCTATCAATGCTGACTAAGGTGTGTCCATGGATGTTAGTCAAAATTACTTGTAAATGTCCATAACTGTTAGGTTAGGGTGAAAATGTTGCTATCCTTTCAATGCTAAGATACATTTCTTTATAGTAAACCAGTAAGTAAGTAGTGGGTAATCTTTATTTATATACCACCTTTCACAGACCAGAGTCTCAAAGCAGTTGACAGTTTTTATTTTTGGGCATGTGTCCTCTCGCTCCACACAGAGATGGGAGCGAGGTTGCCGGTACAGAAGGCTAATGCCAAGACCTATTGTGCATGTTTTTAGTGGGAGGGTAAACTTGAGTACCCGGAGGAAACCTGCACAGACACGGGGAGAACAGGCAAACCCCACTCAGAAAGGCCCTGTTCCGACAGGGATTCGAACCCAGGACCTTCTTTCTGAGAAGTGAGAGTGCTATCCACTCAGCCACCGTGCCGCCCATAGTTGCAATACACAGATTTCTATGCGTGAGTCCAGGATCCACAATCTGTCTGTTTGTGGGAGTCCAGACCTTTCTCGATATGGGCCTTCCCGAGGTTTCTCAAAGTTTTCCTATTGGGTTTTGATGATGATCCGGGACATTTAAGACCATTTATTGAAATTTATGAACAATCATCATCCCGCTCCTTACAAACCAATGGCTGCAATGTGTTTGTTATTATTTCATTCCTTGTGTTCGAACTGTTTCTCTGATTCGTAATGTCCTCCTAGACGACTGCAATACACAAATACATTGGATTGAATACTGGATCAATAGTGCAATATTTTCTTTTGTATTGCATGACATTAGCTCACCAGAATCTCCCAGTCTTTGTAAATACCACCGTAAACAAGCGTAGCCTCATTTCCTCCATACAGTCCGTGATATTCCCATATTTGACTGTCTAAATCTTGTTCTAATTACGCGACTTGCTGAGACAGAGGGAGAAGGCGAAACGAAGCCTGTGTGTGTCTGTGTGCGTGTGTGTGTGTGTGCGTGTGTGTCTGTGTGCGTGTTTGTGTGTTTGTGGTTTCCCCTCATCTGTAAACATCTGTAAACACGTCCTCCGCTGCTGCCGCTGTGGGAGTCTCAACGTGTCATTATCTCATTAGGAACAAACAGCTTCTGCAACTAGTTTTGTTTGTGCGTATTTGCAGACACATGTTCAACAAACGCAGCTCGACACACGCGGCTACAATGTTTTATTTATACATGAGCGATTGTTTGTTTTCCAGCGCTCCTAATCTGAACACAAACAGGGGAGATATGTGGGAGAGTTGGCGTTCTGAGGCCTGTAGCTCGAAGACGGTTTGGTTTTGGTTTTATTGGGGTGAGTTCAGGATTAGGTGGAGGGAACTCTCGGGTTTTCTTTCTCTGAAACCAGTTTAGGATCCGTTTCCTGGTAAGTCGTTGCGTTTACAGACTCCGTAAGGCAACATCTGCTCCGGACCAGGGTCAGTTCTGAGTTGGAGTTAACACAAGAACTACCCGAGCAGTCAATCTGATGGCTTTTTGTTTTTTTGGAAATGTAAATACTCTGCCTATGTAAGAACTTTGTGACTTTTTCTGTAACTATGTGTAGTTCAGGTCTATGTTATTCTGTCGAAAGATATCATCCCGATTCTAGACTGGTCTTAGACCGGTTCAAAGCAAAGACTGTAAATATTCAGAGCAATCACGGCTTGGATCAAGTGCTAGTTACCATAGCAACACACAGTTTACTTGCAGAAGGTAGCATTAAGTGGCTATTATTCATTTATATTAACCAGTTTTAGCATGTTTTCAAGATACAATTATTAATCTATTAGTTGTGAAAAACTGAGAAATTCCACTCATTTGAATGGGAGGCGTCAAAATTCTTAAAATCAATTGTAAAAATGAAACATATCTTTATGTTTAGGGCTTAGAAGGTTCACGTCAGGTAATCATGCAGTACTAGCTTCTTCACATTTTGTCTCATTAGAACCTTTTAAGCCCTAGAGTTAAAATCACCAACATGGACCAATCAGCTGAGAGCATATTGACATGAGATACACCTTTGGGTCAGGACTTGCAAAGATTCAAAATAAATGTATTTGTATTCTCCAGTATGTATAATACGCAATAATATAAGTACTTTTTTATTTAAACACACAATCCTATGTTATTGTGAGTTTAAACATATGTCCTCTGTGGCACCTGTCAATTAGATATTTTCACCATTAGGCTTCGGCTTATTTTTTATTTGGATCTTCCATCCATCCATCCATTTTCTTCCGCTTTATCCGTTGCCGGGTCGCGGGGGCAGCAGTCTAAGCAGAGACGCCCAGACTTCCCTATCCACACACACCTCCTCCAGCTCGTCCGGGGGGACCCCTAGGCGTTCCGAGGCCAGCTGAGAGACATAGTCTCTCCAGCGTGTCCTGGGTCTTCCCCGGGGCCTCCTCCCGGTGGGACGTGCCCGGAACACCTCCCCAGGAAGGCGTCCAGGAGGTATCCTGAACAGATGCCCGAGCCACCTCAACTGGTTCCTCTCGACGTGGAGAAGCAGCGGCTCTACTCCGAGCTCCTCCCGTGTGACTGAGCTCCTCACCCTATCTCTAAGGGAGCGCCCAGCCACTCTGCGGAGGAAGCTCATTTTGACCGCTTGTATCCGCGATCTCGTTCTTTCGGTCATTACCCAAAGCTCATGACCATAGGTGAGGGAGGGAACGAAGATTGACCGGTAAATTGAGAGCTTTGCCTTTCGGCTCAGCTCCCTCTTTACCACAACGGTCCGATACAGCGACCGCATCACTGCGCACGCTGCACCGATCCGCCTGTCAACCTCATGCTCCATCCTTCCCTCACTCGTGAACAAGACCCCGAGATACTTGAACTCCTCCACTTGAGGAAGGACCTCTCCACCCACCTGGAGAGGGCAAGGCACCTTTTTCCGGTCGAGCACCATGGCCTCGGATTTGGAGGTGCTGATTCTCATTTTTATTTGGATCTTAAATAATTCATTTCTCAAAGCCTCTTTACCATTTGATTTAGAGGAAAGAAAGAAGAAAGCGATTAGGGGAGGAGGAGGGACTTATATTGCTGTAGTCTCACCTCTACCTGAGAACTGCTAGCCCCGCCCCCTCCCCTCTCGCCGCACTCCTATTGGCTGAGCCCTGCATGATCTGTGCTGACGAAGCCGACAAAGAACACCGACCCCTCTCCAAGAATGGGTTCAAAAAATGTCGGGGATTCTTGTAATATAGGCCTCAATATTCACTCAAATATTTACGAGTTCAGAATATGCCGGAGCAGCCAATGGAATCGCAGTCGTCGCTCGTCAGAAAACCTCTCGTTAGATGGAGTGACCCCAGTTTTCCGAACGCTCCGTGTTTAGTGTCCAGGTTTTTCCACGGCTCTCACACATTCCTCTGGACGTTTCCTGTGTCTCTATTGTTCCCACTCCCTTCCTCTGTCACTTTCATCACTCGTCCACTGTCACTTACAGCACAATCACCAGAGCAGGACCTTTTTATTGACTTTCCATGATCTCAACTTTCTTTATGTGCAATGACTTAAGACGTTACATTTGTCAAGAGTTTTTTTTTTTTTTTGCGATTTGCAGCAATTTTCTACTTCTTCTTGCGCCGTTATTTCTGTTTATGCAGGACACAGATATACCCGTAAAAATCAATCGCTATATGGAAGTTGGATTTAGTCTTTTGAGTGGAGACCAACAAGAAATTACTCAAGTAGTTTTTGTAGTTACTCAAAGAAGAAGTCTTGCTATATTTGCAACAATAGGAAAAGTTGTCTGTGAACGCATACTGTACAAAATCTAAAGTTGTTGAAAAATGATCTAGTTCAAAGCAGATCCTTTTATAGAAAATTCTTAATTGTATTTACAGTCACTTAATAAATAACTGAAATGTTGACTATATCTGTGGAGAAAGAACAATGGCTATGTGTCTTAATATATGCATTTCAATGGGGAATTTTTTTAAGCTTTCTTCTATACTTTCTGATATTTTTTATACTAGTATCATAACTTTTTCTCTGACTTTTTAATTTAACAGCTCTCTTCCCCTCATATCTTATAATTGTGTGTATTTGCTTCTTTCCCTCTTCCTAATAGTAATAGTAATCCTCTTGGCCAATCATTATAATCATTACTCTGGTAAATGAATAAACATGCTTCCCAATCCCCACAAAAAAGCTCAGTCAATGTAATCTTCTAAAATTATAAAAACAAACAAAATAGGGATTATGTGACAGAATAAAAACACATAAACTACACTGCTTATTTGCATGATTTAATTACTTACACAACTTTGAATCTGAAGTTTGCAGTAGCAGAGAAGCTAATGTGCAAATGGAAATGGGTGGGATTATTCTACTAAAAATCGTTTTCTCGTTCAGGCTTGATTGACGGATAGGTTTTTAAAGGTTTAATAACAACTGTGTATTTATCTGCCTGACATAACTAAATAAATAAATAAATACATATATTGGCCGTATTGCTATAGGTCCTATAGGTTTAGGTTAAAGCAGTGGCAGTAAGTAAGAAAAACAATATTAAATCAGATTTCTTGTAGCAATCTCTGGATCAGCATTTATATTTTAAATCCATAAATCACCAAATTAGCTTCCCCCTTTTCTCTTGAAGTATTGGAGCA